CTCTTCAGGCTGTGCTGAAGCTCTGACACTGAGCTAATCAAATTAAACATAAAACAGACTGTATAGCTGCTACTCCTACCACATTTCATCAAACCAACAACCTCACGACCTGAAACACCACAGATGACCACAAAACTTGAATGTACTACATTCACAGCTTTGGAACGTCCTGCGCCGTTTGCATTTTTGTTTGTTTTTCCAACCCAGTTGCATCTTAAAAGAGTTTTGAATACATTTTGCTTAAGTAAAAGATTTGAATATTTTTGGTTAATTTGCAAATACTCTCAGACACCAGTAAAAGTAAATATATTATTGTCATTAAGTATATTTTAAAGTTCTTAAAGTTTAAAAATAACTGATTTCTATTCGAATACATTTTAAAATATCATGTATTCCTGTGATTGCAAAGCTGAATTCATTCTAACATGTTGATTTGTTATTTTACAATACAGTGCAGTCACTCTGTTAAGGATTGCATGCTAGACACACATTTGTGGAAGGATGGCATTTAGTGAATTTACCAAATAAAATGACATTTTGATAATAAAAAAAAAACATTTCTGCAACCTAAATTATGTCCACTATACAGCACAGCCTCATATTTCATTACTTGATCACAGAATGTCACATATTTTTTACCCTCACTTTTACCTCTCCTGTTCAGCGGACTACATTATTCAATTTATTTAGCTTTTGAAAGTGAAAGTCTATGACCATTTCACCCTGAAGCTACACTGACCAGGCTGTCGGACATACGACGACTCAAAGTGTGAACTGCTCCAATTACGCGGCCTAGTGAGCATGGCTGCAGAGCCACAGGGCTGCTTATTTAAAATTACCAACATCAGTCAGAGAACAGCCACTACAGACGATATCAGCTCTAAAGATTTAGAGCCTGTGTCACAAATCTGAGGTCATTTCCTCCAAACCAAACTGGACTGGAAAGAGCTTACTATATGGGCAAGGGTTATAAACGCATCTGCTGTAGTGAATAGCTAGTGACTCCAATGAGATCTGGCAGCTACAAACATGTTCTATCAGGATTAATTACTGATGTTAGTCAAAATTAGGGAAAACAGCCCTTTAATTTGGATTGTGCAACAAGCCGCAACTCGAACTAGTCTTTATTTAAAATCCAGTAATTAAAGCTAAATCGCAAAGCCCTTGAAAATGAGGCAGGGATGCCGATACAGACTCCAGGTGAGTGATTCCAACCAGCCATATTGCACGAGTCCTTGGGAGAGGCCGCCCTCGACAGACGCAGTTTGTAACTGTCAAACGCTCATGATATACAGCGCTGGGCTTCAAGCCAGCAGATGGTGGGAGAAATTAAACTCGTGACACGGACCGTTGACTGGAGCCGGGGAAGCAGTTGGAGACCACACCTGTAAAGCAGAGGGGGTCTGCGTGCGATGCGTGAGAGCGCTTCCCTGGAATGTGCATAAGCAAATGATGCTCTTCCAGGAAAACTGAAAGTTTCCATTCAGGAAAATGACCTGAACTGTCATTCAGGTTCAAATTCAAAAGCTTATTGTAATGAAACACACAGTTGATGACACATGGTGTCAGTAACATGGTGGGCGATACTGATCCAGATTAGTCTTTGCCTTTACTTGACTAGCTGGAAAAATAAAAATTGAAAATACCAGAAACAAATGATTTTCATGGCATTTGGTGCCTATGACAATTCTAGAATCTGCATTGTTCCACCGACGCGAACAAAACAAGGCCTCCTTAAAAACTTTCAAGAGTGTGATTCATTGTTTCTTGTGAATACTTTGCAGCGGAAAGACTTTTGTTTTTTTGTTTTTTTTACACTTTTTCCCCCACATATGTGCAACACGTGACATGTTTCACAAACTGATCTAGTAGATAAAAACAAAAACACAGAACTAGAAATAAGTGAACAAGTAATAACCTGTTGTTGTTTTTTCCCAAGAATTGTAAAACATAATCTGATCTGATAAGAACTGAAAAAACTGCTGCTAGTAAATGCAATTTGATTCGTTTTCCAATAATTGTTCATTCTTTCTTCCTCAAAACTACAAAAAAATAATTATTAATGGAATCTGAATCAGAACAACAAGTGAACTAAGTCCAATCTGAATCAAAACTACAAATATTAAATTCCTTACAATTCCCATCCCAACTCGTTACTAAATTGCTAATTCAATATTCATTCACTGACAGTGAGTAATGTTTAGCAATTACATTGTCAGGTTTGAGCCACTTTGATAGACAAGAGCTCCAGGAGTTTTGTAAGCATACCCGTAAAGCTTTTGAAGATGATATCTAATGAGGAAACCGCATCCTCAATGTACAGAAATATTCTACCGATCCATCATTTAAAAGCATTCCTGTGGGTTTAGAGGACATTGGGAGTTCTTTCTAATTCCTCACTATGTGACACGCAAAAGCATGTACATCATCATGTCAATATGAGACAAGACAAGACCATAAAATGCACCGGCCAAAAATGAGAGGAACTCTTTTTTTTTTTTTACCATCTGGAGGAACGGTAGGAAAAGTTCTGAGGCAAATGCACCCAGAATTATACCTTTTGATTGTGATTTAGCGGATGGAATGAAAATCATTAAACCGAACAATGCAAAAGTACAAAAGTAACAAACTGCTTTGCATTCAGTCTTCGCTGCAGTCCTTGAGTGTCAGTAATGTCAAATCTCTCCGCTACAGAGAAATGAGGAGCACAAATGGGGTGCAGCTAGACGAAGTCATTATGAATTCACACAGAGGCCCATGTTGGCATCCGCACAATGTGATTACAACAGAGGCATGGCAGATTTTTATTCAACAGGCAACAGCTGTGAGCAACTAACGCCCACAACCTTGGTGCAAGTGCAGCCTGGAAGTTGAAATGAAACCTACTGGTATTCCTCACGACGTGTAGTGTGTGGCGACATGCGAACCCTGAAGCCGTGTTAGGATGCATCAGTGGCCCTCTAAGGAAAAGGACTTGTTCACGCTTCTAGAGCAACCATACAAATCATAATCACAACAGAAATGCTCTCATAATTGCCTTCTGTTTAAATTGGGTTCAATTATGTTAAGTTCACATTAATTGTTTAGCAATATGATTCAAGTAGCTAATTAGAAAGGCAGACGCAGTGACTCATATTTTCCTAAGCTGTGTGCGACCAGCTAAACTCAGGTGGGAGTGATTCCTGTGACTAAAACAAGTTCTAGCACATTAACACACGTCTGTAAACCAGGTCATTCAACATTAAGAAGTTTAACTCTCTTAAGTACATAATGGCTTGCTGTTTGAGAGATACGGTCATTTTGTTTCCTTCCACCTTGCAAGATTCAACCGAACCAAACCAAAACGGAAAACAAAACAAAAAAGCAAAACGCACACATAAAAAACAACACACAAAAAAAAGAAGCAAAACACAAAATAAACTAACTTTATACTGCTTAAGGTTGCTTTATGTTTAACTTGCTTTTACATGGCTCTCTGAAATACTATTCTAATTGGTCAATCATGCGATAACTGCTTTCCCACATGACTGTGCTCACTTCTCTCATATCGCTTTACATATTGTTCTCTCAATTTAATGTTATATGTCAGTGTTTATGTTGCCATAATGACTGGCTGACCGTATAATGTGAAATACACCTTGGTACTGCATGATTATCATCTTCATACCATCTCTGTTCCAAGAAAATGGCCAAAGAAACACTGTACCTATTGGATTTAAAGCAGTGTAAGCACCACAGCTTCGCCCGGGTTGAACAGTGATCAAAATCAATGTGTTATATTTCAGCCTAATATAATTTCTGAGCTTAAGATGAGGTGATTGCATCTCTGGCAGAGATTCCCAAGACCCTCCAAATGTGCCGCAGAGGACATCCTTTAGTAAGTCATTAGAGGACATCATTATCATTCAGCTTCTCCTTTGTGCTGGTCTTTCAGCATTGCTGTAGGACATAAATGATGAATTGCTTGCTATGAACAGTGAGCTATAAATAGAGTTCATTCAGTCCTGCAGGATCCTGTGGGCGTCCAGCTTATCCACTTCACTGTGGAAAGCAGCTAAAAGAGCCAAACTGCCTGCCTTCAATATGGAACCTCTCTCTTCGTCTTCCTCTCTGAACAGGGCCAGAGGACTCAACATTCATCAGATGATTTCTTCATTCGAGGCTTCTAATTTCAACCAAATGGCCTTGGTCTGCTCGTACACAGAGGTGAAAAATAAGATTAAAAGGGATTACACTGTGTAATCCCAAACACATGGTGCTGGGGTAGGTCAGCCGTTACTACAAGGAATTCTGTGGGATATTTTAAGATATTCATTTCAATAGTGGCTGAATTTTCGACATTTCATCACAAGCTCATGTTCCAGTCTCATGCTTCAGGCTTATTTCTCAGCACGTGAATATATCGATGACTTACATGCAATCCAGGGGGCAAAGGAAATATGGGTAAAGGGGTTATTCTTAAAATGAGGGCTCACAACCTAATACGCTACTATTGACGCAAGACACTATATACACTATGATCATGAAAGAAACCATCTGTCAAGACAATCAATGTAAATGTAAAATCAATCGACAACCGCTTTGACTAATAATAAATCTTTATAAACATTTTTATAAAAGGCCACATTGGTGCTGGCAGTGTGTAAATGGGCATTTCGTTTTTGTTTTGTTATATCTTTACAAATGTATTCATTTTACAATCCACTAGCCATTCCAATGATAAAATACTGAATAATAAAAATATAAAAACATAATTTTATTTTATAAGCAACATTTTTATAATTAATCATTTTATCACTTGTTATGGCTAGATGATTTTAAAAATAAACTGGTAGGTAGTGTTCAAATTCAACTAGGCTCATTTCACATTCCCACTCCATCTTCTCCTGACATTCTTCACTATTCTGTCCAATTAAAGGCAAAAGCTCATGCAAAAAAGCAGGAATTTATGAAATACCGGTCAAATCAAGGGCCATCAAATGGCAACAGGGGCGTCTTACCTTCCAGCACAGTAAGTTTGGCACTGGTGTTGATTTCTCCCACGCTGTTGGCGGCTGTGCACTCGTAGATGGCCTCGTCTCTGTGAGTACGCAGCGGCTGTATGCGGAGAACTGAGCCCGAGCCATCATCAAATTCAATCACCTGAGAAAGAAAGACACACTGTCAAATATTTTTCTCTCCTCTCGTCTTAAATTCACGACAAACCTTCAGACAGATCGTATATCTTCAAAGAGCCGTGGGTCTTTAATCACTTCCCTCTGAACTTTCAGCCAAGTACTGTCTTGAGTTATTCTCTTGGAACTGCCACGTCTATCCAAGGCGGATATTGTGACAACTGTTGATGGGATGGGCTCATTTTCTTGTGTATAAAAAACAAAACTAAAAAAAAACAAAAACAAATTTCAGCCCTGCTGTGGTGCTGAAGACTTAAAATCAGCAAGGTGTGTATGGTGCTAGAACAGGATACTTAAAGAATACTTCAGAGATGATACATTTAATGCATTTAGGCTGCTGTGTTCTCCTCCCACACAGAGATCTACATCGCCTCATTTCGGTAAAGAACAGGGCTAGGCAACATGGTTGAAAAAATTCTCTCAATAAATTTTTACAATATTTGACAAAGCAGCTCCAAAACATATTTGGACACTGAAGCCAAACCTAAAATGTACAGTTTCAAAAGATTATGACAAGTGTTTGTCAGATACCAGTTGGTTTGACATTTTTAGATGTGCTTTAAGGTCACTGTATTTATTTCTTAAATAAACATTTTTATTTTTCAATTTCAATGTTTAAATAAATAAAATAAATATTTATTTCTCAGTAAATAAAGTAGTAAGTATTTTTTATTACATAAAATGCAACAATATTTAATTATATATATTTTTTGCTCCAAAACAAACAAACAATCACTCAACACTATTTATCTATTTTTGCAGTGGTGAAAGTGTAAATACTTTTTGTTTGTTTTTAACCAAAGCAGTTACAAACAATTTCATTGTTTTCACAATTTCACAATTTTTGCTTAAAGCAGCCCTGTTCCCTGTTGAAAAAGAATAAAATAATGGGTCTCCATACTGGCCCTAAACCATCCCGAGGTCATCACACCTCTTTACATTTACTTCCGATCTCAGCTTAAACCACAACACAGATAGAACAGGAATTAGGGCAAAGGGAATAGAGGGACAACACAGAGGGGTGTGACGTGGCTGACGGCAACACAAAAGAATATATCAGCATAAGAGCGCAAGAAGAAAAACAAGAGTGTTGTGCAAACGACTGACGATGGAAAGCAGAAAGGCATCATAATGATGTGGCATGGGAGAGACACTGACATGCCAAGGAGAGGCAGGGAAAGACAGTTAGTCACCTCAAAGCGCTGGGAGCTAACTTTCTTTCCTTTCTTCATCCATGTGATCCGAGGCTTGGGCTCACCCGCTGCTTGGCACACAAAGGATGCCACTCCTCCCGAAATCCCCGTCTGGTCCTCTGGAGATTTGATGAAATTTGGCAAGCCTTGAAAAGCGAGGTAGAAAGAAAAAAAAAAACAGAGAGAAAGAAAGCAGCCATTAGTTCCTGAACTGTGGTCGTGCAAAACCATGTTAAACTAGTGAACGGGGATCCTTCAGACTGGAACTAAGTTAACACCTGCAGCTGAGCCTGAGAGAAATGTTCCCCCTCAAGTCACCTAATACTTGTCAGAATGATCCATTCTCTGAATAACAGCTTATAGCTAATAAAAGCTACAGCTACAGCTAATAAAAAATAGACATTGTAACATTAATAAAAAATACTAGTACTGTCAACTGACAAACATCAAACTAATCAAATATTTGACAACAGTGACAAACAACTGATCAAATATTTGAGAAATGTTTTGTCAAAATTTTACAAAACATACAAAAAAAAAAACAGCTTTAAAAGTCAATGAGGCAGTCACAAGCAGCACGTTAAAATGTGTCAAGATAAAAAATAGTTCAACGTCTCGAGAACCCTGCATTATGTTCCGATGCACTCTGTCTAGTTCTGTCAGTTTAACTCATTCATTTATTGCAATTAATTATAAAAAAAATGAACATGCTGAAAGATTAACTTTAATTGGTCACATTATTATTTAATTAAATCACACTGGAAGCCCTATAAAATAGACATTGCATAAATGTAATAGTCAATATTTTCCCATATAATCACACAAAATGCAAGTGTTAACTTGACAGACTTTAAGAAATACAAAACAGACACTGAATACATCAACTGTCTTTTTTTTGTACATTAATCACATTATTGTGACAACCCAGGAAAACATATACATTACTTTTTTTTTTTTTTAATAATTAAATTAAATTAAGTGTTACGGTCTGGGATAACAGAAAATAAACAGTTACTATAACTCAACAGCCAAACATGGCCCCAAGAATTTACAAACACTCACACGTGGAGATGAAAAGTAATCAAAACATTTCATTCTCTATTCAAAAGGAGGAACGCTGACAATAGTATGGCAAAGAACTTATGGCTAAACAACATTCAGGTTTGTTTTTAAACAGGCCAGTCGGAGCACGCTGCACCTCATGGTTTTTTGGCAGAGTAGTTCACACACCCTGCATCTTTGTCATGCATTTACAATACAAACAACAATGGCACATGTTTCATCACTGCTCAAACTAGGTAGGGCTGTGCGAAGATAAAGACCCACACATATCGCCTGACTCGTTTCAAACACGTAATGGCTTGTTTCAAAGAACATCGGTGCTAGATCAAGCAGAGCAAGACCATTTGGCAGAATTGCAGCTACTGCGCAACATTCCGCGGAAATAGTGGGTGATGCGGGTGAAAGGTGAATCACACGGTAAAGCCAGATATAAACATCATGGCATACAGATATTATCAAAAATAATACAAGCAACTCTTTGTAGTTGCTCTCACAAGGGTGGGAAATCATCTTCAAGGACAAGCAGGTCAGTGTTTGACCTTATAAGACATGTACAAGGACAGATTTAAACATTCTGTGTCTAGAATGTGCACCAAGCAGTTTTTTTGATGTTCCTGTTTGCTAAAAAATAAAAAGGAGCCACATAATTTAATTAATATAATAATGATTAAATAAATAGAAAATGTATAGAAATAAAAATGATAATATTTATTATTATTATTATTAGGGATGCACCGATACCACTTTTTCCAGTACTCGCCCGATACCGATACTTTTATTTTTGGTACTTGCCGATACCGAGTACCGATACCAATATTTTTATTGCATTTGTACATTTTTTAAATATTGGGTACAGAAACCAAAAGAGTATGCAAACTCGGTCTGAATAATTTTTGGTCTCAAACTTTTTATCAGTTTTACTGGTAGTCCACCGTATGAAGAATTGTTGGGTATAATTTATCACAGTTTACTTTATTTTGCTCTCCTCACTTACATAAATGAACTATGTCCTGCACCCACTAAAACAAATATCAAATATTATATCTGGTTTCTGAATCATTTTTGGTTTGACTGTATAGCCTTCGGTTATTTTCACACTTAATTATGGCCATTAAAATTAATCCAAATGATGCGTGTGCTAAGTGAGTGAACATCAAAGATCACACAACAGAATTGCGCGCTCGCTCTCTCTCTCTCTCTCTCTACCGTTAAGTAACTTGAGCATTTTTTTACTTACTTGTTTATGACATATCCGACCGAAATACAAACTTTCCAGTGATGTCTGTGAGAAAGGGATATTCACTCGACAAGCTCGTGCATCTGCGCTGCCACGCGCTCAATCCACTCAGCATGCTTTGTTTATCAGCTCGCTCACATCAGCTATACAGGCATTAATACTGAATGTTTAACATTATATTCATTGCATACATATACTTCGTATACATCCTTAGTCTCTAATAACTCCATTCTGCTGTCTGTTGTTCTGTTGTCAGTGTTTCTTTGTCTGAATATGGCACTTAACACATGCTGTGTGGTATCGGCGTTTGGTATCGGGGCATTTTAACGAGTACGAGTACAGAAGCTCAGTATCGGGCCCGATACCGATACCAGTATCGTTATCGGTGCATCCCTAATTATTATTATTGTTATAAAGTTGACAGTGTATCTCATTTTCTACCCAGCTATTAATGCAATGATCTATAAACCTGAGAAACACATTTAATTCAAATTGATCTTAATATCAAATTTATAAGCAGTTTAACAGAATATTTCCTTGCAAAATTCAGTGATCAATAAACAAGATTAAGGCAAGAGTGATGAGAAACTTTGGAAAAAAAAATACAAATACAAATACAAGTTATTCTCAAATGTATATTCACTGCAAACAAATAAAATATATTTTTAACATTTCTTTTAGAAAATACACATTTTTAGAAATTTGCTTTTAGATTTATTTTAGACAAAAAAGTACTAAAACAGCTGCATCACCCAATCAAGTAATCAATCAATCAATCAATCAATTTGTAAACATTACATATTATACTAGACATATCACTTGTATTACCCTTATACCATTCACTAATGCCATCAGAAACACAACCATATTGAATCTAACAGAAAAATTGACTCATCTGTAAATACTTAACCTGCATTAAATATAAAAAACATAAACTGGACCCTGAAAACCACTTTTAACCTGATCTCAGTTTATCAGTCCCATGATTTCTGATAATCTCCTTCATAAGGAGGACACAAAATCCATTATCACAGTGAAACATCTCCAGTGAACCACGGGACATGCTGGAATAGATCACAGTGTCCTAGCGGGTGGTCCACGGTGGGATTCTAATCCTCTCTTAGTCAAGGGAGAGATAAATTACAGCAGTGTGGAGACTACATGCGGTAGTACATATGATTCTCTTGGAGGGAAGAAGCCGAGGGAATACGGTGCCGCCACAATAGTGTCCTTCCTCCTCTATACTTCGGGATCAGAGGGATAGTGCTGAAGAAAACAAAATCAATACCTAGTTAACATAACATAGCGCCTACGGGTAAGGCGGAGAAGTACTGACGAGCAGATTTTGTGTTTGTTAAATCATCAGTGCAGTGTGCCAGGCGACTGGGGCTGCTCTTGCTCTAGGGCATAACACCCACTGGAGCTTTATCTGAGAAGAAGACACCCACAACTGTGAGGTTGTTTGTGTGTATGCACCTGCATGTGTATCCATTGTAAAATCTAAGCCAATGTGTACCACACCAGCACCTTTATGACCCACAGGAGTATTGGCTGGCCTGACATTTAAATGACATTTACGTGCTGGTTCCTCTAGAGACCGGTTTGATTGGCACCGCAGAGCAATGCATTCCCTCATAAAAGCCTTTCTGGCCACTTTTATTTCTGTTATACACACACAAAGGAGTGGAAAGGGAGTTTTGAGAGCTTTCGGCCTCCTCGTAGCAGCCATCATGGATAGCTTCTGGTAGTTTCATGGGTAAAACCCAACAAGATTCTCCAGTTACCTTGCTGGGAGTTTCCCAAGACATGGATACTTGGATGTGCATGTGATTTAAAGCTTGAGATTAGCGTCAGTTTGACATTCAAGAGTGCTTCTGTCATGACAATTCTATTAGATGTACTCAGCATGTGGGTTTTCCCCCAATTGTTTATGAGCAAGGATCAGTGGACATTAACCCATCTGGGCACATGTTTTGAATTAAAGTGCATATAAACTTCTGAGAGTTTAGGCAGATGGGATGCATGAATGAACCACAGAGGTCCTGGGGAAAGACAGATAACTAGAGTGTAGACAGGCAGATTTTGATCAACAGTTTGATCAATACTTTGATAAAAAAAAGTCAACTTTGGCTCTACCAATGAATGGTCTTTAATAATAGCACTCAACAACACATTCTCCACTAACTATTGTAAGTTTTGTTTGGATAATGAACATTTACACAGCCTGAAACAACATCCGGAAAATACATCTACAACCATTTAGACTGCCCAATAACGACAGACAACAACACTAATTATATTACTAATATTAAAGGGATAGTTCACCCAAAAATGAAAATTTGATGTTTATCTGCTTAGCCCCAGGGCATCCAAGATGTAGGTGACTGTTTCTTCAGTAGAACACAAACGAAGATTAACGCAAACCGTTGCAGTCTGTCAGTCATATAATGGCAGTCAATGGGCTCCATGGCTTTGAGAGTAAAAAAAAAACATACACAGACAAAACCAAATTAAACTCTGCGGCTCATGGCGATACATTGAGGTCTTAAGACATGAAACGATCGGTCTGTGCAAGAAACTGAACAGTATTTATATAATTTTTTTTTACCTCTGATCCACCGCAATGTCCAACTGTCCTGAGCGCGTTCACAACATCCGGCGCATGACGTCAAATAAATACGGTTGGGCAAAAAATTCCACTTTGTCTGAAGATATATCAAAATCGTCTTCCATTGTGATGACCTGTACTTCTAAATATCTTTAGATCATCGCAGTGCCAGTGAACACGTCCGCAATCTCTCTGCACTGTGTAAATAATGAGTGACGTATACGCGCGACAGATCGCTT